TGTGTTAGAACTTGAAAGGAAAGTTGAGTGATAACAAGGGAAGAGAGGACAAGGATGTTTCGCCGACGGCTGTCGCCAAAGAAGTAACGCGAATGTGTCCTTACGTGCGGCACCCAGGATAATGCCGCGAGATGCGTGCGCACCGTTGCTAAATCGAGGGTAAGAGATCGGGATCTCGATTGGTCGCTGGACCGGCCATAACAATAATAAAGCATCCCTTACCCTTGGAGGGTTAGGAGCAGCCCCCATCTTCCGCGAAGAGAGAGAAACATCCCCTGTGTTTCGAAACACAACGCGACACCGAGCGACCGAGCCTCAAGTGACCTCCGACTCATCCTAACCCCCTCCAGGAGTCTCGTTCCCCGAAGAACAACTTTCGAAAAGGAGAGAAGTTGCAAAAAGCGGAACCCCTTCCCTTGTGCGGGAGGAGCGCAAAACTTTCGAATAAATAGTCGCCGAGTCCCATAGTTCGCAACATGGATTTTAGAAGAAATGGCTTATTAGATATAGTTGGGACTAATCGTTAATGTTGAAAAATTCTTATTGCCAGACATCGAGACACAAATAATTATATTATCTTCCTATACGTTTTTCTAACTGATGATTTTAAATTTTAATTCAGTGAAATTTATTAAATTTATTAATTAAAAAATGTTTAAATCATTCATCTTACCCAGGGCTCGAGCCAGTGAAAGTGTTTAAAAATACGGACTTTAGGGACCAAAAATTATAAAGACCATTTACGGACCATTTAATTGCAAAATTCAATTATTTCTAAAAATTCACGCAATAATGCTTTTAATATTGAATTATAACTGAAATTCATTTTTAAATCAAATTTTATTAGAAAATTCTACTACAATTCAATTATTTAAATGTGACGCGATCTGAAGAAATAAGGGACCTTTAAAAGCAAAAAAAATTATAAGTTATGTTTGAGATTTTTGAAATGAAAATACAAAAAAAGGATCAACTATGTTAATATATCATTGATGTTTAAGTCTTCATTACAAGTAAAATATTTAATAAATACTGATTTTAATTGTCAATAAGTAAAAAAAAACTTTCAATCAACAGAAAATTAACACCACACTGAGAAAACTGCGCCGGATAGTCAAACTTTGAGGGTTAGGTTCTGAGTGTTAAGCCTGATTATCTGGATAGTTAACTTTTCCCTCCGAGTGAGTCAAATTAATCATCGGAGTGTCTATTTATCCCTCCGAGACTGTTACGAAAAACTTAACCTCAAATAAGTATAGTCTGTTTGTCCCTCCAGATAGTTAGTTGAATACTCCAGTTTTCTCAGTGCGACATAACCTTAAAGTGATTTTCTTCTAAGGTCCCTTTCTTCAGATCGCGTCACAAATACAAAAATAAATAATTCATTGAATATAGTTGAATGTTTCTTAATATTCAATTCCCATAAAGAATTTTATCAACAAATTTTTAAAAAATTGAATTCTTTCCACGAATTTTAATGCAATTTTAAAGAATAATTTCATTTTTCGAGAAATTTAATGAAAATTGTATTAAAAATAATTGAAATTCTGATGAGTTTCATTTTTTATGAAAATAATTGAATCCCTGTAAAAAATGTTATTATTTATGAAAATAATGATATGTTTGCGTAGAATTTTTAAAAAATATTTTTTAACATAATTGAATTTCCACGAAGAATTTTATTACTTTTGAAAATAATTGTATTTCTGCAATCATTTGTAATTTCTCTAAAATTCTTCAAATTACGGACTTTACGGACCTTTTTTAAAAAAACTGAGTTTTACGGACCTTTACGGGATTTACAAACCTAGTTGGAGCCCTGATCTTATCTCGTCAACAAATGAAAACAATTAATAGATTTCATTTCGTTAGCGGGATTCTTGAATTTAAAAATAAACTTTCCCCTTATCGAGATTTATAGAACGTGTTCATTCGATAATGAAACTGTAGAAAATTCGGCTCAACTGCGACCCATTTGCAACGTACATACTTAGTAACGCTATCCAATCACTGTTCCAGCTAATACAATCAATCAGCACTGAAATCGATCCATCACCATCAGATGCAATGTTTGAAGATGTCCCTCATATGTAGTCAACATTAAAGGATTAAATTTTAGTCTTAAGGCAAAGTTGTAAATGGTAAATTATTTATCATCTTTATTTATCTTTACATTGAGGTCAGTTAGCAAATTTAATTTATTTCCCCACAAACCTTGCAATTACTATTGAAACACGAACGCTTTCATTGTTTGCGGCGAAAAGTAGGAAAAATCGTAAATGTACGCGTCATCTCATAATTTCCCCGTAAATGAAAGTATTCAAATCAAAGTGTCGCTCATAAAACAATTCGAGACCAAGCCCTTGGAGGAGAATATATACAGATTTTTTTGAAGGGGAACGAATAAACGAGCGATCGTCGCATAAACGCATTGAGGTGTATGTTAGGTCGAGTCGACGCGACGCGCACTATATCCGCTTCAAGGGGGGGATGATGATGCGAGTTCGCCCGATGATATTGGGGTGATGTTTAAGGCCAAATGCGAGAGAGTATAACTTTTACGAAAAGTCATATACAGGAAGGGGGAGAAAGAGGACTGGAAAATAGGAAAGGACTTTTTCCAAAGGAGGGAGGGGGTGTGTCAATCTGGACGTGTAAGAGAATGGACACGGCTGGGGGTCAATTGAGATGTATAGGCAATTTATGCAGCACCACTTTTTTCCTTCTTGCCGGAAGTTTGACACAGACTCAAACTATGAATTGATGCAAAACACAGCCGGGGGTTGACGAAATGATAGGAAAATGGGGTGGTTTTTCTTTTTCGTCGGAATTAAGAACTCGGCCAACCGCTGTTTCGATCAGACCCTCTAACCCTATTTCCACAATTTTAGCCACGTTACGTTGTAAATGTAGTAAATCTACCCCTTGATTTTCCCGATCAATCGATTTCCTTTCTCTTTCCTCCATTTCTCAACCTGTTTCGTTTACCTCCACTTTCTCTCTCTCTCTCTCTCTCTCATTTGCAGCGAGCCATCAACTCTTATCGCGGGAGTGTCAATCACTCGCTAGATTCAAACTTATCGCTCGATTAATCGGACTGACAATGACTGTCAATTCGAGTCCATACTACGGGAATGAGGCGAGACGAATCTGATGGAGATTCGTCAAACGGTGAGCGTAGAGTCCAAATTTGAATGGATGGCAGGGCGGAGAGGTACGAATAAATTTTCATTTTTCATGCAAGACTGGAAGTTATCAAGCTCAGATGAACAATCCAATTGTCGTCATTTAAACAGCGAAGAGGAATTGGTAACAACAAAAATTCGTTAAAACAAATATACGCTTTATCAATCTTACATTCAGCACTGTCTGCTTATGTGTTAAGTCCTTTAAAACTCATTGCATCTTATTATTTAAGACTTGCTTTTTACTTGTCTGTTACTCTTATGTTTCTCGCTGTTGAATTGGCGCCAAACCGTCTGGACTATTTTGATTGGTTGGACGCACAACCCTCTTCCTACTTATTTCTCATTCTGACCTCTCGTAATATTTTTAATTCTTGAAAGTGTAAAAAAAATCACTTGCGTCACACTCGGGTCTTTTTTTTGAGCAACAAAAAAGCAATTTTTATTTGAAAACTGCTTCTGTTACTTAGAAAACCAAAATACATTTGAATAAATACAAATTCCGTTTAATTCAAACATATTTTTTTGGTTGGTTATTTGTTATTACAGTTTTAAATCTGCATTATAGTAGAAAGTTACTAATGAAATGGTTTTTATTTTATATTTCCATTTATTTTCACTTTCAACAATTTTCTTACGGTTGGGAATTATTAAACTAATATCCAAGTAGCTTCTACGATGTGAATAACATTCCGATTAGATTCTCATTCAAACAATCCATTTCTCTAGGTAAATGAAAGGAAGGGGTTTAGATATTCCAAATTCAATTGGAGATTAAACAAAGTTTTAATCCCAAACCCTCAAACCTTTTAATGAACTACCAATTTAGATTACAAAAAATAGGATAATAGGTCAAAAATTAATAGGGTGTAAAAACAAATTGGAGGAAATCAGCATTTGACAGTTTGAACAAACTGTCAAAAAGAACAAGTCACATACCAATACGTCCCAAGATAATTATCCTGTCGTCGATTATTGTTATACAACTGAAGCGAATGTGGTTTCGCAGCGTTAAACCCGGTAAACCAGCGAGCGACAGATGCGTCAATGGTTCATCTGACCACTGGAAGGAGGAGATGGTCGAGATAAGACGAGGGTTCAGAGCAACATTCAGAGAAACGTTTAGTCAATGAAGCAATTTTCGATTTTTGACATTGTAGTCAACTACATGGGGATCTTATCTGCTTTATCTCGAGAAATCCAATTTACAAGAATCGCTCATTTAGATGAGGATATGAATTCTCAACTAATCCCAACTTCTGAATCGAGATTTTTCAGACATTATGTCCTTGTTTTTTTCTTTTTCTTAATTACTGCTGTTGAAAACATTATACGTCACAACTAAAAAATGCTCTTTTTAGAATTCCAATATAATATGTATATTGATAATTTCGTCGAAATGGGTATATTATAAAGATTAGAAAGTGGGACGAGTTTGAAATGTTGAAAAAGTCATACCCTTGTGTGGGCAAAATTGGGTGTGGATCCTCTGAGCCACGTTCATCACTAAAATGCCTATTCAAATTTTACAGCTCATATTTGTCGCAATTAAGTATTATATTTTAGGGGTTATGGCCACAAAATATTCCATATTGAGGGAGAGTTTCTGCATGCTCGGGGACGAAATAAAGAGAAATTTCGGGGGAGTCAGGCTTTTATGAGAGGACACGTATATATACATATATACGAATGGTAGTTTGATGATGTGTCTGAGTCACTCGGTTCTGATATGGACCTATATATCTATGTATATAAGCGAATAAGCGATTCGAGAACCGGAAATGCGTTATACTCGGACAAGATTCATGTACTCACTTTATAGATACTCAGCTCGTCGTCAGCTTGATATAAGAATCCACCCCTCGTCCTTAAGAAACCTCCTCTTCGCTCGTGAATGATCCTTCACTTAATCGTGTCTGAAAAAAGGAGAAAAAAACCAATCAGTCTCAAGTTTAGTATTGACGAAACGTGCTTTTAACGGACATCCAGAGACGTGACGAACAATTCTGAACTCAATTCACATTTTCAATCGTAAAACATTAATCCAACATATTGAGTCATTTGGCGAGAAGCTTCAAAATACCTAAACTTACTCCATAAATTCATGTTATTAGTGAGTAATTGCCCCATCAAAATTCTTTTCTTTATCGATGTCACTTTATTTAAATAATTTTATTATTTTTTTATTTATTAATATACATAAGATTACAATTCAACAATCATAAATAATAAAATACTTGACTCTTAAAGTAACAAGTTTTCTCCTCGTCGAGGAATAATTCGATTAAGGTAGTGAACTGTGCGTGAAAATAATTTACCTTCATATACTTTTTTCCATGACGCAAGTTTTCCAAGTTGATGTTAAATTCATAGATTTCTCACACAGCACTTCTTGGTATGATGTATTTATTTCCCCCAGAATTATACATATTTTAAACCCACAAGATGCAAATAAAGTTGACGCTGTACTTTAAAATATACACAAACGATAAGAAGCTATCTTGGGAAGTGTGATGAGCAGTTCCTTGTTGAATCAGACAAGCAACGCAAAAAGAAGAAAAAACATGTAAACTCATCATTTGAGTGACGAGCTGCTTAACTATAGACAACTAGTAGTCGACTGTGTCCTATATTACTTGAGTGTTAAACTTAATTAATTATAAGTTGTTAGGCATTTTGTTTTTTAACTTAACTTAACATTTAAATTTCATTTTCAAAATTAAGTTCAGATTCATTCGATCTTTTCCTGTTGATGGTAGAAGCATCTATTACCAGACAATTAGAAATTGTGAAAAGCACAGAAAAGGTGAAGAAAAGGTGAAATTTTTGGACAATTTTTTTTGTGAAGAAAGATTAAAGTCAAGTTTTGTTGGATGTTGGGTAGGGTCAAGGATCTCGAGTTGTATCGGTGTATTCGCGAATTTGATGTGAGTAGAGATTACAGGGAAGTAGGCGACTTTGCAGAAATTCGGAATAGGTTAGCGAGTTTGAGGAGGTGAACGGGAGGGTTGCAGTTTTGAAGAGAGGGTTTGGAGTTGGCGGCGTTATGGCGGACGCCGGGGGTGGCGCCGCGACGCTTTGGCGCCTCCGAAGCCGAGACGCTCTACTGATGCTGGCTCCATACACATACCTATATCTACACCTGAACTTACACATTGACTTATCTCCAACTCTCTTTGCTCTATTGCTTTCTCATTTTATATCTCACTCGCCCTTATTTATTTTCAAGTCTTTCTTGTCCTTTTTCCCATGAAGCACTCACACACACACACACACAGCCAGCTTCTGGAATCCTGGATTTTTCATTGCTGGGGATAGGTGAGGTCACTGGAAGCTTCCTCAGACTCTTAACTTGGAAAGGTGCAGAGCTGCGGAACGCAAAGATAGCGCATCGATTTCAGCTAAGACGACCTATTACTGCCGGCCGGCACCGCCTGCTCCAAATGGAGTCTAACACTCTGCTTGCGAATTTCCAAATCTCCGAGTCTACCATATCCTAACGAAAAAGCATTCTTGAGGCGTAGAGGGGACAGAACTTGGTGCTGAATCTCAACTTGAAAGTGAAACGCAATGACATAAGCAAACAATATGATGACCGGGATTAAAGCTATTCATTTTTTGCCCATGGTCTGCTATCTGGAATCGACAGTTTTGTTCCTTTGAAATAAAAAATATCGCAACAACGCGGATGCCTCATTTTTCTTTAAAGTAAAGAAAATTTGATGATTTTCTTTTTTTGTTAAGTAATAATATTATTTACGTATATTTTGAGAAATAAATAGATGCAGAGTTGCCACGCAACCTGGAAACCTGGAAATGTCAGGGAATTTTTATCGGAATCCTGAAAAATTATTTTTTTCTAAAGTTAATGAACTTATTCTTAAAATCTAATTTTACTTAAATATTTCAAAATTAATTCAATTTTGAAAGAGTTGCGTTTACAATTTTCATAAGTAGACGTTTGTTAAATTTGTTGATTAAATTCATTATGAAAATTCAATTTTAAGAAACATTCAATTATTTAATAAAGTATTTATTTTTGTATTTAAATAATTGAATTCTCGTAAAATTTTCCAATAAATGTTGATTTAAAAATGATTTTTTGAAATTTTTAATTTCTAATATATTTAATCGAAATAATGAAAATAATTTTTAAAAAAGTTACAGCAAGAAAGTAGCAAGATTTAATTATTATAAAACATGAAGAAAGCGATCCGTGAGTCTTTGCCTCGGAGTGATCGATATTTTCATGTTTTATAATAATATTAGAGCTCTGCAAAATAATTCGAACCGAACTGTTAGAATTTTTTCGGCTAGTTCGAATGTCGAATTTTCGACATTTGAACATTTCGGCGCCCCAAAACCGAACAATACTCGGTTCGGTTCGAATTTTGCACAGCTCTAAATAAAATTCTTATATATGTTAGTCAATTTAAAATTTTTGAAAATCTTAATTTCTATGAAAAAATAATAATGATTAAAAATGTTTATTTAAAAATAAAGTTCTTTAGAGTCAGAGAAAAAGTGAAAGTCTTGTCTGCAAATGAGGGAATTATTTAATTTGGTAAAATATAAACATATTTTAGAAATCTGGAAAAATTTTGTTTCTTAACCTGGAAAACTCAGGGAATTTGAAAAGAGCAAAAGCGTGACAACCCTGGAATGGAAGAATCTATAAAGAAACTCTTTGTATATATTAGTAAAATTGCTAAAATATAGAGCAATGCATTCTCAAAAGTTTCATCGACAAAACTTATAATAGTTTCCCCGAGAATTAAATCACTTCCTAAAATGATGATTAAAAATAGCAAAAGTTTATTTTCTACGAGAATGATAAAGTAGAACTCGTGTCAAGTTTTTATTTCTGCTTCAATAATAAACAACTCCATTAAGCAAATTGAGTCGCTTGGGAATTATCAAATTTAATTTGTTACTCTTTTCAAAATGATAACTATAGGTAAATATCGTAAACATAATGCAGGCACTTCTGAGGTCAAATCATTTAAGAAGATTACATTTTCATGCAAATGACTTATTCAGGAGACAATTGATTCAGTTGCTGTCCACTATTATTAATTAACTTTCATATTTTGTAATTAAAAAAAATTAATAATTTATCACATACGTTTTTAGAATAATTATTAAACCAATATTGTCGTCGCGTAAAACATTAATAAATGTACTCGTCAAAATGGTTAACAAAACATTAATGAAAATGCCATATACTTAAAATTAATGTACTGATAAAGCATACTCGATAAATCCCGAAATAGTGTACAAGACTTGACTAATCGGGACACGTATTGATATCGACATTCTATATACATACGTATATGTGTATGAATGAAACGGTTTAATAAAAGAGGCGCGACGAAACATAAAAAAGAGGAAGGCAAAAAATATATAATCGTGTTGTAGGTTCGTTATAGGGCTGAGAATCGCACCACTAATAAAATCGTTTCAATATCATATTCTCTTGTTATGATGACATCATACTTCCCAATTGGTCTTTTAACATTGTGATGCAATAAAATTTTGTCTTTAACGAATAATTCTGATCATCGTATAAATTATTTTTTCGAAAATTAACTTTTCGTCTGCACGAAAAGTAAAAAAATATGTTAGAATTAGCCATAATTATGGCAGTAACAAAAATACATTTTATTTAATTACTTACGTGACAGGGTCATAAAAATAGAATTCTCCAAAAAAGCCTGAAATATTGAAAATAAACGCAGGGGAGCTAAGAGAGAGACAGAGAGAGAGAGAGGGGGGGGGGATTGATCAGTTTCACTATACCTATATGCGTGACATAAGACTCGATAAAAGCCCTTTTTCGAAAACAAACAAAATTGAAAATATAAAATGCCTTCTCGACGAATCGCACGCAATCTTACAGTCCTCACCCTCTAGTCCGAGAAATCTGCTAATAAGTTAGGTAAATATAAAAATCATTGTTGTTTTTACCACGGGGTGTGCATGTGTGGAGGTACATTGTTGCCATTTAGGGTAGAATGGAGGTGCCATGAAGGATAATCCATTAGACGAGTTGTAACCCAAAACTGCGCAAACAAGGGTGGTCTCTTAGATTAAATATGATGGGCGAATATAAACCGAGAAGGGAGTTTCAATCTTTTGAAAGAAGGACAAAAATGTCCAAGAGACATAAGACATTTGGAGACAGGTGCATAACACACCGGGAGATGTAACCAAATATTTTAATTGAAACATCTCAAAAGTATCATTTTCTCCAAATAATATGAATTGCCATTTTTAAATATCAGAATTCTGCTGTTTTCTCTCTTCCTGCATTTGAATTCGTGGAAACTCGTTTACTAAATAAATGTTATCGATTTATTAAAATAATTGCAAAAAAAGTACTTCGACACTATAGAGCGACGAATTGGAAAAAGAAGAAGAAGAAGAAGAAGAAGATAAATGCAATAGAGAACTTTTAATCAAATTTTCGGGTTGAAATTTAATTTTCTGAGTAAGCGAAAGTAGGTAGTAAACTTTCACCCCAAAAGTGTCTTGGCAAAGATACGATCCAGGTACCGCAGACGTGTCTCTAAGTGGTCTGATTGAATTGGTTGGTGTATAAGCAAATGAAAATGGTCTTATGGAGGAAACATTCGGAAATTTCTCGAAAAAGAAATTGTTTTCTCATTGTGAAAAGAATCACAAAACCTATACTGACTTGGTGTAGTTGTATCATCCTCTTTAATAATCTTGCACAAATAAGGAAAACAATTTCTAAAATAACGTACAAAAAATGAAATGTTTTTCTAAATTTTTAAAAAGAGTTTTGTCAATATTTGTGATCGTGTCTAAAATGTGCATTAATGCGATTAATGCACAAACTCCTATCTGATATTTATCTTCATAGAGAGAAAGGGTTATAACTCAGGGATGTTAATTGTGCGATGAAGCTTCATCCCAAGCACTCAAGCTAACGATTCTGTAACGAAGGCGTTTGTTTCCTTTCGAGAGAAAAAGAAGAACATGGAAAAAGATTTAATAAGAAGAAGATCGGGAGGGTTAGACAGAATAGGGACACTGTTAAGACCTAAGCAGGAGGTAAATTGGACAATTGGTCGAAATTACTTTGATTTTCCTTTGCCGTTGAAGCAAATGCGAGCGGGAGGGTGCCAAAGAGTCTGTCTGATAACCAAAATTATATCCAGAAAATGGTGACTGGGTCTCGGACGAGAATAAATTTCTAACGCAACACATTGAAATTAAAGCGAGACTCAAGAGCCACTTTTAGAACGAATGTGTTTTGAAATAGGAAACAGGACAAAGTAAAACGAACATAATGCTAAAACTTAGAGTTCACTTATAGCCACCATGTTTATGCATTTTAGATTCTTCTAAATGCTAAAGATTTAGAAGATATAAAGCCCAATCATCAATATATTTAACTCATTGACTAAATCCCTAATTAAATTTATAATTCAAATATCTGTATAAGATAAAGAAAATGTAATGCAATTGTAAAACTTTGTACTGACCTAAAATATTCTACAATTTATTATTATTACAAAAAGCAACTTATATAATAATGCTTAAAAAATTTAATTAAAAAGCGTTTCAGAACAAGTTTATCATTTTTCTATGATCTCTCTTTCTCTCAGCTCTCGAATAAAGTCAACGAATAGTGAATGGTAATAAGATGAACGCAAAGCACTCGACAAATTAAATAAAGTTGACATCAACAGCACGCGCGACGCTTCTCTGTCACGGAAAATGCGATTCCTCATATTTTCGTTTACATTCCTTCGAGTAAAAGTTTTAATAATATTGCGTCTTTTTCAATATAATTCTTTTATATTTTCATCACATTTTTATTTCAATATAACATTTACATCGTGACAATAAGATGAAACAAGCAAATGATTTGTCAATTTTAAAAAGTTAAATCAACACAAACTTATATATATACAATATGCCGCAAAATTAGTTAATTAATTTTAATCTTGACGAAAACCAGTAAAAATAAAAGTAATTAAAAATCAAATTAATAGTTTATATTTGTATGAGCAGAAATATGCACTTCTCTCTAAAATCTTAATTTTATCGTATGTGAACTTTACAAAACAAATCAAAAACATTTTCGCAACTTATTCAGAAACAATGTTGAATTTATTATTATTCAAATGGCAATATCATTCTCTGTTCAAGAATTTTTAAAAATTATATTATTATTACATCGGAAAATACTCTTATATAAGCTCTCTAAATCTGAATATGTGAAAATTCACATATTTCTAAGTTATAAGTCGCTCCCTAAAATTAAATAAATAAGATTTAAAAAAAATTTTAAAACAACAACAAATTTTTTGAAAATTTGATTTTTTTAAAAGAACTTAAACGCAAGAAACTGAAACTTAAAGAAGTTTAAATAATTTTTGAAACTAAAAAAACATATTTTCTTTTGCAGTAAAGGTTTAAAGAATTGAAAATTTTTGTAATAAGATTTCTTAACAATCTTGTTATGGAAATGTGTTATGCAGAAAGGAATTTATTCTGCTTTATAGGTATATAATGTGTATCTTGAAAATACAATTACACTTTTAGTTTAGCATTTAATTGTAGACTATTACCTACTCTTCTAAGAGTATTTATTTTCCGGTGTAATAATAATATAATTTTTTAAAATTCTTGAACAGTGAATGAAATTGCCATTGAATAATAATAAATTCAACATTTAGCATAATACTCTCATTCAAGAAATCTACGGCGATTCAGTTCAGGGACGCATTACAATATTATTTCGTCATTATTCACTGATTTTTCAGTGTTATTAATATTTTTCATTTATACTGATTTTAAGAAGAATAAGAATATGGAGAATAATCGAGTACTTGTCTATTACAAAAAAAAAAAAAAAAAATGTTTGGAATAATACTATTTACCTTGTCGACAAAAGAAACATTATAACATCAAATTAGAAATTAGTCTTCCATGAGGATGTAGATTATATTTGCTTAATGGGGAAGCAAAGTGCTGATAAAATCAAAAGCAAAGTTGGTACAACTTTACAAATAGTTTTAGAACTTTATAGAGTGTAAAACACGAAAACAAAGCTGTTTGTTGTTACACTTGTCGATTTAGTATATTCTCTTATAATAACTGGCATTGTAGATTTTGAATCTACAATCTACAATTCCATCGTTAAATTTACTTCGATTTTTAAAAAATATAGTTTCCAAATTATATTGTTTGCACAAAATGCTAAAAATTTGAATATAATTGAAAAGATTCCTTAGGATATGGTTAGTACTAATTTCAAATAGAAACAGTAGAAGAAGGTGTTAATTTTGGCTGGCAACTCTTTGTAATTTTTTTTTTTTGCACATTAGAGCGTCAGATTTTACGCACACTCTACTATTTAGGAGAACAGCACAACAGAAAAATACACAGTACATGCGTCATCTATTTATAAACTTCAACCGGAACTCCACTTTCCGTTTCAGCAAAAACATTGTTTTTTTAAATTTTTTGCAATCACACCTGACTTATAATATCTAATACATTTTTAAAATTAATTTCTTATGCACTACACCGAATATCAACCGAGTATACTAGAAATGGCATAATACTGCATGTGGGCGTATGTAGGTTTTACGAAAATAAACAAGATTCGTTTTCACATCACAAAATCATCTCGAAATCAACCTTTTCAAAAGAGCTTTATTATAATATTCACATATTACAATTTAATGATGAAATGAAAAATTAAACATTTTACATTCAGAAAAAGGACAAGAAAATTGGGTACTAATTAATTGGATTATGCTTCACAATCCTAAATGATGGATATATCTCTCATTACTTTCTCAACGCATCATGGAATCGTGAATTTCGAAAGTAAAAACAACTCCGAAAACCGTAAGGGTCATTTTCACATAACTTTCGTTAGTGAAAATGACCCTAACGGTTTTCAGAGTTGAGTCTTTTTTTAAATTCACGTTTATAAATTATTAAATGCATACACTAAAGTGTTCATCGACAAAAATATGTTATTGAATCATCATTCTCAACAATTGCACTACAAGGATGTAAATTAACACAAGTTTTCCGTAAAGAATCTTTAATACCTATTTGGTTATTTAATATTTTATTTAAAACAAGAAAAAAAACCATTTTACCTTTCTTCTGAAGAGTAGACATATTCTCTCAACTCTTTTTTTTAACCTCTCACACCCCGCCTATTGATTTTTCCGGGACACTATTGTTTTGGTATCTCGCGTGTTTCATCAAACGGAGAAAAAAGTGATAAAATGAAATTTTACAGCGAAACAAAAGAAAGATGATTTGCTCAATAATTATGTTTTTAAAAATAATATCACAGGGGAAAACTAGATAAATTGCTGTTGAATTCGCCGTGGCTGTCAATTGTACTTGTTATGAATCATCTCTATTTCTGGAGACACCCGTTGTATATGACCCCCCTTCAATCACTTTGAGGTTAGCTTTTCTCAAGTTCCCGGTTCTTGCCCTTTACCATCTGATTTTCGAGAAAAATCCACTAATTTTCCCCAGAGAAATATATTTATTATTTTGCAAATTAAAAACAGGAGTTTAAAATTGAAAAAGAAGGAATGCTGACGTCTAAGCGAGGGCAGTACGCCCATCTGGCGGAAAATTAAAAAAAATCAATAAAATAGCGCGAAATGTTAGAATTTTCAATTTTCAAATAATTCACAATTGAGTGGACAATATTTTTACCTTTAAAAATATCCATAGGTGCGACGGGAAGTCTCTCTTGCTTGTTTTAAAACAATTTGTCACTTCGTTAACAACTACACATCCAACAACACTTCTGCGATAGGACTCCGTCCAAAGTCGGTTCAATTTCCTCGATCCGCTATTCCATTCCTGTTTGTCCGAAACCAGTAAAGTCAACTTATTTTCAAAAAAACTGGGGGGAGTTCCTTGAAGCATTTTTTTTTAACTATTGCTCTAATAGATAATGTTGCGAATTATTTTTATAATGATATTTTCGATTATTTATTTGTTGTTTGATTAATTGTAAAATTATTGAAATTATTAATGTGTTTATGATAGAGAATGTTGCAAAAAGGAGATGCTTTAAAAGTGAAATTACCAATTTAAAGGAAAAAGGATTTATTGACTTGACAATTATTTTACTTTCATAATCAAATTGAACCGAGTAAACAGTAATCTTTCAATTTAATTTGATTTCATTAAACAATATATAGCTTTATTATAAAAACTTTATGTCCATATATCTTTATGAATATGTATTATTATCAATTATTATGAATAATCTTCATGTAAATGCTTTTTTGAAATTCGTTTCTTTAAGTGTTATTAGATTCGTTTCACAATTAGGCACAACATTGACTGAATTGACTGAATAAAATAGAAAGTTTAAATTTAAAAGTGTAAAAAATTTTGAATTTTCTTCGTGAACATGGCTCATGAGTAGCAATGTACTTTCCTGACTCACTACAAATAGCTAATCCAAACAAACAGTCTTTTCTATCTAAAAATAATATTTCCAAGTTTATTTTTTATGGCTCTCATAAGAATTACATCATTTCTAAGCCTACAAAAAATTAATTCAACTTTTTCTGCTTTCTTTCCTTCTAAAGTACGAAATAGTAGATTTTAAATAATAATTATTTAAATACACCTCCACTAATATATGTATAATTTCTACACTTTGTTTATATTTGAAAAAATCTTATTTTCAATTAAAATGTTATTTTATCTTAAAAATTATATAGTTTATGAGAAAAATTGATTTCATTTCCTTTGGAGTAATATTTCCTTCTTTGATCTCTGAAAATAAATAAAAGACTTCCATTTTAAGGAATGCAGTACGTGTCCACTCCAAATTTGGTAATCCAGTCTCCAATCGACGATATATGTTTTTTCTCTGGTAACAGGCAGTTGGAAATAATATAAGAGAAATGTTTATGCACTGTCGCGGATTACTTTTTTACTTGGAATCTGACAATTTTTTATGAAATTTTTTTTTCTATTATTCTGTTAACAATTATTTCTTCTGCTTTCATTGGGGGCCTGTTATTTTTATAGATATTCCTCCTCATTTTTACAAATAACAATAATAAAATCATTTCTATAGGTTTCTTTATTTATAGAAATAATTTTAGGCTAATTATATATACTTAGTCTAAATCCGAAAAAGCAATAACGAAATTTCACTGATTAATTGTGATTATAGTGAATTAATTAATTTCTTTATCTGTTTTTGAAAAAAGAAACAAGTGGAAGTCAAAATGTCATAGGGGAAAAAGAAAGGGTAGTTTCCTTAAATCGTGGGCGACACTCGTCACATACATGCGTATATGTATATATTATGGTTAATTTAATTATTACGAAAGGTACTTGAACGACAGAACAACATATATTATATTAAATCGTTAAAGATTCAATGAGAAATTGAGTAAAAGCGATTAAACGAGTGGGCATCGATTTGCGCCTTACTAAAATGGGACATTTCAAACCCACACACACATATGTATTGAAATCGACTCTCTTATACAGGGTGTGTCATAAATTCAACTGTATATATAGCACTGTAATAGAATCATTAACAAATGATTCTCAAATCAAATGTTCTCCACACAAATTCAAGCGAAATGTCCAAATGAACAACATTCGGAAATTGCATTTCATCGCATTTCCCCCCGTTTCACTTAGACCTGAAGAAACATATTTGACACGGGATGCATTCAATTCAAACTGGAAACTATCTTCGCGGGCACAACTGTTTTATCGACCAGAATTACTTTCACCAACTGTCTCAAGATGGACTCAGTGTCATAAAATTTTACAATTGCGTTCATTGCCATCAAACAGTAAGAAATAGACTTTTTTCATAATTTATTAGGTAACCAGGAAAGCTTTAAGCTGCAGCCAAATTTTGAAAAACAAAAATTTATGAAATGCATTCAGTATGAGGAAACCATTTATTTCAATCAAATATACTTTGTTTAAATCAAAAATTAAAGTCTTCGCTATAAGAACGTATATATTTTAAAGGACTTTCTGGTCAAGGATTTAAAAAAATCAATTTTTCTTTTTTTGCTTGAAAATGGTTCCTTAGTATCATAAAATTAATGTCCCAAAAACTTTTAAAGAAATATGGAAAAGAAAAAAGTTATAGCAATTTTTATGACCGTCTCTTAACTCACTACAAAAAATTTAAACGCGTTTTTCTCGAAAACACATTTTTAAAAACGGGTAGACACTTTTTTCATAAATTTTAAAAAACCAAAAACCATTCGATTCTTTATCTAAAAAAGTATGGACAACAAACCTCTAAAATTTCACATTACCTCTGGTATATTTTCTATACAGGAGTAAATTGGCCCCAAAAACACAATTTTTTCGCTTTTTTGAAAAAATGTAATTGTAAAATAATTGTAAAACCTTTTTTTTTAAAAAATAGTTTTTAAGGCTTGTTGTGAAGGGAATGAAAAGAATCCAGTTTAAATTTTTAATTCAGAAATAGATTGCCCGTAAACCCAGTAAACGAAAACTAATTGAAATGAATTAAAAAGAATTCACAAAGAGCTTTCGTGAATCCCGCTTTGTGACAAATACGAATTGGAGCCATGATGCAATTTTCCTGAATTCGTGAAACTGTATTGAACTTCCGAACCTTCTATCCGTACCAATTCACTGGACAAGTTTTGAGCCTTTAATTTTTTTCAATTCGTTAGCACGAATTCAATGCATTCCTTGGCCATTTCTTTCGAATGCGAATTCGTTTGGACAAATTGGTACATATTGAATTAAATTCAATTGAATATACAAAGAGCTTGAGTGAATCCCGCTTTGTGACAAATACGAATTGGAGCCTACCAAAAATGTTAATTCGTTTCAATTCATTTGAATTAGTTTTTTTTTACTGGGAACTGTCTCCATAAATAAAAGGTATATATACCTTTTGGTATAAAAACAAAATCAACAAAACCATCTAAATAACTTATTTTTGTATTTCAATTAACCATATTATAATACTTTTTCAGTGAACTAGAATTCATACGTAATTAGATGTGTTTGAAATATTAGCGAGATAAAAATCAGTTCAACTCAATATAGATAGCATATCAATGAATTATTGTTCCATGTTTATTCTTCCCTCTCAATAGCAATAAAATATATATGTATAGACACAAAAGTAACTCCCTATTTCTCGACATTTCTCTTTTATTCTCCAAACGAATTGTCTCTTTTGTCCTTCACTCGCCACGTTTCTTCCCCAAAAAGTTTGCGGAAACTTTTTCCATTAATTCCACGGGAAATGTTATCGCTTGGCATATTGGATTGATATCTGAAGAAAAGCATCTATTCCATTTGCCTTGGAACAATATATTCAGTTTAGTATAATTATAATAAGAGTCATCTCTTTAATTAGAAAAGATAGCAATAAATAAAAACATTTTACTGTCAAAATAAAATCTTGTTATTTTTTTCAGACAATTTATTTATTTAGCTCCCTAAATATTACAGAGAAACATTCCATTTGAGTAGTTATAGAAAAACTTTTGCCAATTTTCAAGAAGAAAGCATAGAAATAATCAAGTTTACGTAATATCAATTATTAATTTTGATTTAAAATTTTTTATCAGGTTGTGGCAACAAAAATTCAAATGTTGCAAGAGATAGTGTTGTAATAACCATAAGTGTTGTTGCCTTAAATATTTTTTTTGTTTTCTCAAGAAAATGATGTTGTTGTGGGAACAACATGGTTCTAGTTGAAGTGATATAGTTGCCAAAACCACAACTATGGTCATTCCAGCGTTTGTATGTTGTGGCAACAACATAGCCTTACTTTGCAGTAATGTCAGTGACGGATCCAAGGTCTTTTCTGAATCGTGGGGGTCAGAACCCCCTGGAGTCTGGAATATACATTAAATATGTATATAAATTATATTATTATACAATGAATTAATTTTAACTAATTCAGATTTAATATTTTCTATCGTTAAATTCAGAAAAATAGAATGAAAAGATGAATTTTGATTTTAACACTGGGGCTAATAATATTTCTTACAGCCCTATTGGGTTTTCCTCAAAACTGTAACAGACACTTCGGATGTACCTGAGCTCTAAGGCTGCGGTTACACCTCTGCAGGCAGCCTGCCTGTCTGCAGGTTGTCATGGTAACGTACAAGAGTAAGAGAGTCAGTGACTTCAAACTTCTCCCTTACTCTCGTTGCTCCTGCCTGCGCAGGCAGGCTGCCTGCAGAGGTGTAACCGCAGCCTAAAGTGAGAAATTAGTCCTGTTGAAGGCGTCAAATCGTTTGAATGCTGAGTGTTGAATGTATTTATTTTATTTCCGTTTAAGTTAAAAGTATCTTTAAACCGTTAAAGTTACAAAAATAAAGAACAATGACTTCGTTAATAAATAGTAAGTAAAAAAATATATTTTATACAAATGAAACATGATTGAAATCAATTTAAACAGAAATAACAGGAAATAATATGGCTTCATGGATTTTCAGAAAATGGTTGCTCCATATCTCCTGTCATCCTTTATCATGTTGGCAGTGGTTCCTTACATGAGATTGTTTAATATAAAATTTAAATACCTATTTATATAATATTGTTGATAAGTGCGATTTTAATTTAGATTTAGTATTAATTGTATTATATTTTATTATGAAACATTTTATTTAATATTAATTAATAAATTATTTTAAAAATTAATTGTTTGAAAAAATGTTTATTAACTATTAAACCCCAAGTACCTATATACAACACTATCATTGCAGCTTTGTCAACTATATTATGCAATATTAGCGACAACTACTTTATCTGATTGTCTAGAAAATTCTAAAGATTTTTTTTCAGTGTAGCAATACTATAATATATAGTTAGCTTTAAAATATAGACCGATTCTGACAACAACATTATAAGTTGCTTCAACCATATAAAATGATTCTGACAACAACACTACTCAGTTGCTACAACAACAAAATGCGATTTTGAGAACAAAACTGTTTAGTTGCCTCAACCACTCAGAACGAAACTGGCAACTATACTCTGTGGTTGGGTCAACCACACGAAACGATTTTGACAGCAGGACCGTGTGGTTGTCCCAACAACACGACTTGATTCCGACAACCACATTGGTGCATAAAGTTCAATATGTTGTTGTGACAACTACAAATGTAGTTGTCCCGTATTTTACAATTTATTGTGGTTGTAGCAAACATATTTATGGATACCACAAACATAGAGTTTTTTCCGTATACGGTTTCTTATTAACAAATAGTATAATAGAATTAATTGATATTTATTAGAATTTAAATTATGTATCATTCACTGGAGAATCAACCAAACAAATCAGTCAATTTCTCCCAGAAACTCTTTTTTCGATTCATTTTCTTAATTAATTCTTGAATTTCTTTATTTAAATCTGCAACTTGTGTTCTGTGTACTTCTTGCTCTTTTCTCATCATCTCTTCATGCTTTTGTTGTGATATATCGCCTAGTTTTACATTTGTTAAGGAAATTGCTTCTTTCACTCTTGCAACGGATGACAATAAAACGCTTTGAAGACTGAAAGCCAATTGCTTACTCTCTTCCATGTCCAATAATTTGTCAACAAATTCCATAAGTTTAATTTTTTCCAACAAATTATTCTCGTCAATTTTTTTCTTAATACCAACATCAATTGTTTCAAGAATTTCCATTTTCTTGTAGAAATCGTCTTTATGAAAAAGGGCATCAAACAATTTAGATTGAATTACACTTAAATCTCTATTATAGGTTCTTATTATAGTCTCTGTTTCTCTATTATTGGACAAAGATTGTAAATCGTGTATTTTTTTTTGACAAACAACACCAACAACTTTTTCTAAATCAATAAACGCTGACATTGGGAGTAATTTTTCCCTGGCATTATATAGACTAAGCTTCGAAGAATCTGAAATACTAGGACGTAATTCCTGAAGAGTGTTTTTTGGAATGCTCGCGGAATTTTTAATAACGGGAAAAATATTTACATCAATGTTGGATGTTACAGTTCCAAGTGAAGCTCTTTTAAAGAAGGCTATGTGATTGTTGTTGAGTGTTAAATAACGAACAAAGTCTATCGAAACTTGTGATAATTGCATATTACTGCTTGATAAAAATTGATAGGATAATTTTTCATTTATAAATTGCAAATCCACTGGAATATCTTCTAGAGTGTTTGGTACTTTCGTGAAAATTACTGAAATAATTGAGAAATAAGCCTTCATCCTGTTTCCCAATAAACTTTCGACAGCTTTTAAGACCGATAAAAATGGTTTAATGTTATCATGTAGAATGTCATTAATGTCCACAGCTAAAACAATTTTTAAAGATTTAACATTTTGCACCAACTGGTAGAGATAAAATGCATTAGTGATATCTTGTACTGCCCCTCTATTGTCATCAAAACCTGGAGCGTCCCAAATGACTAAATCTGGTAAACTTTTTGAAATCCATTTTGTAGGAATTGTAGTTTTAGACGTTGATCCACTACCAATTTCCGGTCCAAAAGATTGATTGTTTGCTTTGATTATTGTTACTGGTTGAACTCGAGAGACTCGTACAGCTTTCAATTCGTTGCCTATTAAATAATTAATTAGTGTACTTTTTCCAGCTCTTGTAGCACCAATGCAAATTGCCACATGTTCATCTTTAACTTTCTTAGTCATATATTGTGCTGATTCATGGAGCTCTTTCTCTAATATCTTTAAATCATGTTCAGTGAACATATCTCTGTAGCTGTAAACTAGTAAAATTTGTAAATAGATGATTGCTATTCTCTTCATCATCATTAAACAATGAGAATATTCTTTAAAAATAGTAAAATAGTGTTTCCTAATGTGGTTCAAGTTTTGTTTGTTGATATTTGTTCTACAAAAAGAAAAGTAGAATAAAAGTTAGTTAGAGTGGCCGTCTTTAACTATTTCAGAGAATGGGTTAGTGTTTTAGAAAAACAACGAGTTACAAAAAATTATCAAATATCATTACACATAGCACCTATATATTATGTTGCAACAGTATTGCCGCAAGTTTAGAATAAAACTGAGAATTAAAGCTGCATGCATGTTAAATCTATAATACATATTTTTTAAAAATTTAATAAAATTTTAAAATATTTTTTTTTATTATTACTTATATTGATAATAAAATACATCGTTAAGATATGAAGATAATTATAATAATGAAAAATACATACATAATTGTTGATTTAATGCACTATTTATTTCCATCTTACAATAAGAAAATTTAATCACTTTATGTTGTTATTGTTTAAGCAGAAATAATGTACATTCGCGGTATATTATTGACAGAAGACTGAAAGTACTTCATGGATACAATAAATCATACAATGAGAGATTAGAGTTTAATCTCAAAATGTTGAAATTCATAATTTTTTATAGAATTATCAGAATTAAATATAAATGAGTATTATTTTTAAAAATATTAATATAACACAGTACATTCAACCAAAGATACGACTCCAAAAGTTCTTTCTTCTGTTTCTATTTCTTTCACTTTCCCTTCTTTGTTCTTCAAGACGCCTATGCAATTCTTCTAATTCTTTCTGCTGCTTCTGAGCTTGTTCCATTTGTTGTATTTGTATTCTTTGCTGTGATATTGAGTTTATTTTTGTTTGTGCAGAATTTATATTTTCTTGGACTTTCAACATCAAGGATTTAAGAACAGTCTGTATTCCAATGTCCAATTGAATACTTTCTTTCAAGTTTAATAATTTATCCACAAATTCCATTAATCTAAATTTTTCGAATAGATTATGCTCTTCAACTTTCCTGACAATAATGTTATCAATCGCCGAAAGAACTTTTACTTTCTCAGGAAAACTTTTGGCTAAAAAAATAGCATCATGAAGCACAGTATTTATTGCGGTGTAATCATTCTTAATTTGATTTATAAGATTTTCAGATCCTATTGCGTCACTAATTGCACTTAGATCGTTAACTTTTTTATCGATAATGGATATTAGAATGTTTTGAAAATCTTGAAATGATTGCGTAGAATATAATGTGTCGCGGATTTTAAATAAACATATTCTGGAATATTCAGAAATACTAGGGTTTATTTCCTTCAAAGAATTTGCGTCAATTTGTTTGCAATTTTTAATGACAGGAAAAATATTTACATCTATGGCAGAAGTAACAGGTCCGATCTTAGGTCTTTTAAAGAAAGCAATATGATTATTGTTCTGTATCAAAAATTGTACAAAATCCTTCAAAACTTGAGACAATTGCATGTCACTGCTTGACAAAATTTGATAAGATAATTTTTCATTTATAAATGACATATCCACAGAAACATTCTCTAATGTATCTGGTACCTTTGTAAAAATTATGGATATGCTTGTAAAAAAGTCTCTCATTTTATTTCCGAATAAATCTTCAAGAGCTTTTACGACAGATAGAAAGGGTTTTATATTATCATGTAGAATGTCATTAATGTCAACAACTACAACAATTCTAAGGGATTTTACTTTTTGTAATAATTGATAGGTATAAAAAGCGTTTGTAATGTCTTGTAATGCTCCTCTATTATCATCAAACCCAGGAGCATCCCAAATGGCAACATTGGGTAATTTTCCTGATGTCCATCTAGTGGGAATTGTTGTTTTTGATGCAGAGCCGATTCCAATTTCCGGTCCTAAAGATTGATTGTCGACTTTTGATATTGTAGTTGATTGAAAGTAGGAAACTTTCTCCGCTTTTAATTTGTTATCAATTAAATAGTTTATTAACGTGCTTTTCCCAGCTCTAGTAGCACCGATGCAAATTATTACATCTTCTTCTTTAACTTCCTTAGACATATATTTTGAAGATTCGACAAGAGCTGTTTCTAAATGTTTTAAATCTTCCTCAACGAATTCATGATTATTACAGTTCACGATTAAAATTATCGCAAAGAATATAGCAATGATAAGTGTTATCCTCGTCATGTCCAATTGATAATGAAAATATTTGGTAAGGAGTATGATATTAAAGTAATTCTAACGTTTTTCTAGATGCTGTTTCGTAACCTGCAAAAAAGAAAAAAGAAAAATCGCATAATGTAGTGTAATCATTTTAAATATCATTGGCATTAGATATGTAAGATTTCATGTTAAAATTTTTATAATTGAAAAGGAAAATAAGAGGATAATGTTAATATGAAAATAACAAAAAAATAAATTAATTTTTCAACTAATATGACATGAAGTATAGAAAACTACAAATTTTATTTTTATTATTTTAGCAAAATAATTTATAATCTTTTATCCTTTGTATAATTTATTCCGGGTGTACTTCCGAATCGCTCGAACCGCCAATCGTCTTGAAACTTAGTTTCCTTGCGTAATTTTGTGCCTTGATTACGAAAATCATAAAGAAAATTGGCGACTATTAGGTCATCTTCATGGTAAAAACCATAAAAAAACACCATAAAATTGTGGTTTTTTGTGTTTAACTCGTTGGATTGGATTAATCATAATTTTTTGTGTTTACAAATATTTGTAAATTTTTTTTCTGCTTTTATTTGAAGGAGGAAGGAGTCATCCACCTTGGGTTTTTCAAAATTAAATAGAAAACAAAAAATATCACAATTATCTCTCCAATCAATTAAATTTTGATAAAAAAAAATTTCCAACCCAAGGTGAATGCGACTCCTTCCTCCTCCATATAAAAGCAGAGGAAAATTTACAAATATTTTTAAACACAAAAAATTATTATTAATTCAATCCACACGGAGAAAACTGTAGTGTTAAAATTAGAATGTTAAAAATTTATTTAGTCATTCTAATCTTCTTCATAATTTTACTTACACTTTACTATATTTTTCCTTCGTAAAAGTTACACATATTTTATTATTAGTTTTACACTCCAGGAAATTTAAACTAACCAATTTTTTTATTGAAAACTAACCGCAAATGCAGCTAAAAAATGAACATCGATAAATAAATTTTGACGTTTAAAAATATGAGTTATTGTTTATTTATTATTTATTTCTGTGGATGTTATAAAATAATAATCTCTATTGAAACAAAATTTAAATTAATTAAAATGTTCAATATTTTAATTATTTTTCTTTTCAAAAAAAATTTTTTTTTAAAGAATTATGACTATAAAGACTAAATGAATTCTGAAACTCTTTCAATAACTGAAAAGTTAAAAACTACTTTAAAAAATCAAAAATGTTTTGCCATTTAAAATTTTTATTATCCAAGTTAAATATTTTTAATTGTTTAAATAAATATTTTACAAATAAAAGTTTGTTTTAAAAAATCTAATTAAACATACAAAATAAAGTACTGCACATTCCTGGAGAGTAAAACTAATTACGTTTATTTTACACATTATAAATAGTAATCTACAAATAACAGAGTGTTGTCCTATAGTTGACACTGAAAATTTGTTAAATTTTACAATCCTCAGGGTAAATTTAAGTATCCTTTTTTCTCCGTGCAACAAGTTAAATGCAAAAAGCCACAATTTTATGGTGTGTTTTATGGTTTTTACCATAATTTTCGTAATCAGGGCACAAAATTACGTAAGGAAACTAAGTTTCAAGACGATTGGCGGTTCGAGCGATTCGGAAGTATATCCATTATTCTTAAGGGGACATTCGAGTTCAAAACAGGCAAAAAGAAGGCATTTTTAGTATATATTATTAAAATAACTATGACATTTATTTACAAAATTTCTTTTACATGTAATAAATAATTTATTTAAGAATTTGTAAAAAAAAATTTTTTTCATTTTTATTTCAAAATGGCGGCGATATACGCCATTTTTTGAAAATGCCCATTTTCGGTGGTAAGATCGATTCCAAACTTTCTAAAACAGATAAAACCAAAAACGAAGTGACATTCTCTTCGTTAGATATTTCTTTAGGTGTGGAACCTCTAAAAAGTGGAATTTTCTTCCCCCCTTTTTTTAAAGTACTTTTTCCCCAAAATATGCAAAAAAAAAGGTGTTTTTATTCAGAATTTCTCTTATAAAAAAAGAGGAGTTGGAAATTTTCCAGTTTTTGAGGTTCCACTTATAGGCATGATGACGCTAAATCAATAGCCGTTTGATTTTTTAAAATCGCTTCAGAAAAACTCGAGATATCACTTTTACCAGATCAAAAAAAAAAACATTCAAAATGGCGGATCCAATATGGCGGAATTTTTTTTTTCAAAATCATTGGATTTGCTTGAAAATCGTTACGGGGGGGTTTTTGGGGTCGCTGATTACGAATATGACATCATTTTTTCAAAATTAAAAATGGCAGATGCAATATGGTAGACGAAAAAAAAAATTAAACCAAAAGAAAAATTAAAATAAAAAAATTTTCTTTTCCGCCATATTAGATCCGCCATTTTGAATTTTGAAAATTTGATATCTAATTTGTGATCAGCAACACCAAATACATCTTTTTTTAATGTCTTTTTTAAAAAATGCAAATGAGAAAACATTTAAATCATTCGATTGCTTATCCGCATACAAAAACATCTTTGACATGGCGAAGAATAAGGATGTATAACTTTTGTTTTATTTCGAATTTTGCATTAATATTTTAGGAGAGTATTCTTAACACTATAAGAAATCCGAAAATAAAAACAAAAAAAAATCGATTTTTTTGACATTTTGAACTGGAATGTCCCCTTAAATTATGATTATGTTATATTATAATTTATTATAAAAATATGTATTGTCATATAATAATTTTTTTCTCAAAGTGTGTATAGTTTTTGAGGACAGCTGTGTTGTTAAAACATAAAAGAATTTTTTTTTCACTTTACCTTGCCTTGAAGTGATTAAATAATATTGCAATATTTTGCAGTTCGTTTGACTTTTCGTACACTCTAAATCTAAATTAGTGAAAAGTTGTCCATTAATTCAAAGTAGTAAGCGTTTTCACTAATTTTTAGTGAATAAATAAATTATTTGTCCGTATTATATTTTCTTTCTCACCTTCTAAAAAATTCCAAACTGAACTAAATCTATTTTTTGTATATGTTATTAAAAATAATTGACAATTTGAACACAAAACAGGGAGATGGTAGACCTTTATAAGCTTTATAAAAAAGTTTTTAAAAAATTACAAAAGATTTGCAATACTTATAATTATTCACTTTGATTTCGTTTTAATATCATCTAACTAGAGGGGAGGCACAATCTCGAATGAATGTTTCGTTATACATCACTCATATAAGAGAGTACTGACGGCAACAATACACAGGAGCAAAAGTTTTCTAAAAATTGAAATTAACATTTAAAAAATTACTTCAATTTCCATGAATTTTGAAATTAATGATTCCAAAGTAGGTTACAGTCAAGTTAATTTCAACTTTTAAAAAACTACCCCCACAGCACCGAAACTTTTCTAAAAATTTATTAAATATTTACTTGCAATATTTGGATTAATTGCAATGTTTATTGAAAGTTAGGTAAAGATTTAAATGTCCCGATTAAATAAATGTTTAGCGCGAAACTTTCCTGAACATTTCACACTAAACATTTATTTAATCGGGACATTTAAATCTTTACACAATTTTCACTAAACTTTTCAGTTAAATATTCCGAATATTGCAAGTAAATATTTAATAAATTTTTAGGAAAATTTCGGTGCTGTGGGGGTAGTTCTGTGTGGGTATACAATATAGATATAAGTTTGTGATCATGTTGATAAATCTCAATAAAAAATATATATGTATTGATCGTAAAATAACAAGAATGATTTGTTAGTATTAGAATCTCTTCAGTTTAACAAGATGGATTCCAGATTAAGAAATTGATTAAAAACGAAAACACTACAGTTATTAAAGCTAATAATAATTTACTATTCATTTACAAAAACATTGTTCATTTGACAAAATCCACTATTGGAATATATTCTTGATAATATTCCGTTAATATTGTGTCCCTGTTACACACATCAGTATTCGTTACTTTAACATATGTGCCAACTCCTTCCAAAACTAAATCTACATTATTTTTGAAATTTTCAAAGTAATTATAGTCAATATTGCCAGTAGCTTTTCTAATTTTTACTCGCCACGTAGCAAAAGGACTCACTAGATCATCTCCATTTGCTAATTTTTGCACAGAATCAGATTCTCCTTGATAACTTTCATTGAATGTTTTTGTCAAAGTAATGGGTGAATGAGATATAAGGTACATTTTATCTCCACATGTATAATACGAATTACCGGCATGCGTCATTTTCATCTCTAATGGATTTAAAAGTTCCGTTAAATGTTTCTGATCCGTTTTATTTTTTGCCACAAATCCAATTCTAATTTTCTTAAATTTAACAGCAAAATGAGGGAAATTCCTTGCATTGGGAAACAAGATGACTTCTTTTCCGCCCAGAAGATCCGATATCATTTCATGATGCGTCTCATTTTGCCATAAATAAATTTCGCCCTGATGTTTGTTGCCATATTCTAATTTCTCGTTAAATTTACTGTTTTTGAAAATAGTCGCCTGAATTGCGTTAATTTTGTTTTTAATTTTGTCAACACTTTCTGAAACCTTTGCAAACCAGCGCATCATCGTATCTGAATTAATATTGGTTGATATCTCAAAATCTGACGGTTTGTAGAGGTCTTTCATGTATTTATTGGCAAATGGGAATACAAATTGCTTGAAGGCATTGTAAATTTTTGCATACTGAATTAAAGCGAGATTGACACGAATGATGGAACGTGTTTCGAGCACAGAATTCTCAAGTAGTTGATTTTTTGATTTGAAGGTTATAAATTTCACGTTATTTAATTGTTTTATGTAGGCAGCAAGTTTTTTTTCTTGTTGAAAATTTTGAATTTCGTCATAAATGCTAATCAAGGTGTTGATTGTGTCTTCCAAATGTTCAATTATCATGTCCAGTTCATTCTCGACATTGAATCCTTTTGTAAATTGTTTAACTATTAGTTTTACATTTTTTAAAGATGATTGGACTTTCCATTTAGAGATGTCAAGAGCTGCGACGGATTCGATTTTTAACATTTCATCGGAAGGTAGATCTTGGCACATTTTTTCAAAAACTGGAATCAGTTCGTTGTAAATACGATTTTCGTATTTCTGCAATTTTTCAATATCATTCTCCGTTGAGGAAATGTGGTCTTTCAGAGATTTCTTTTTCTCTGTATCATTGTCAACTTCCTCAACGGCATCTGTATTCTTCTGCTTAAAATTATAATAAGCTTTTAATTTACCTACGACATCAAACACTTTTGTATAATCGGTTTCATCTGCATTGTTGTCCTTCTTCAGCCTTAATGTTTCAATCTGCTTATCTAAATCCTTTATTTCATTCGCTATAATTGTCCCATTGACATCCATTTTTGTCAATTCATTTAAACTGTCAAGCTTATGTTTTTGATTTTTCAGGAATTCAACATCGTTTTCTAATAATTTCTGTTGTTTAAGTTTAGAATTCTTTAGAAATTCTAAAGCACCCGCGAATCGATTTCCCACTGCACTTGGCATTCTAGTTTGAAATCTTTCTTGTGAATATTCTGGAGCAAAATATTCACCTACTTGAAGAGCTGTAAATGCTACGATAGCAGCTGCCTGTCCTCCAGGAATTAAGGCAGAAATTCCCACCAGTGCGGACTTTAAGAGTGTAAGGATTGTTTGCTGCATCATTGCTTTCTTTAAAGCATTCTTCTTTTCTTGTGATTCGTTTCTCAATCCAATTGTTTCATTAATCAAGTTGTAGATTTTCTTTTTCATTAAATTTTTTGCTTTATCTATTGCACTGAATAACTGTTCTTCAATAATTATACGCGCTTCTTCGATTCTTCTTTCAACGTTTTGCTTGTAATCTTCACCCAATTGATTAGCTGAGTATTCTACAATATTGTCTTTGAGTTTTCTGATATTTTCCGATACAGATTCAACATAATTTTGCAAATGATGTACAAAGTAACCACTCTCAGTTAGACGACTGGCTTTTGTTAAGGCTGCCGTATAAGCATAATCTAATGCCACCAAGTAATCCTCACTCATTCCAAAATCAAGATGTCTTTGTACATATTTTTCAATCCTTTTCTGTAAATTGGCATACAATGATGGTAAGTCTACATTTTCTAAATTCAAATACTGTATTTCTAATCCTTTTAGTTCATCAAGCAATCCAAACGTGCTGTATTGTTTATTGATAGCTTCATTCTCTATTAGATTTGCATGGAAATCCAAAAGTTCTTTGTTCTTCGAATCTGACAAAGCTGGTCTTACATATGTTTTATAATCATTTACAACAAAATCAATGTCTCTGAATCCGACGAAATTAAGTGGATATTTTATTCTCTTGGTATTGCTTCCATCTAGACCAGCAGTTCCATTATGAATAACTAATTGTATTCTCTCAGTGATGGTACAATTTTCACAATTAAAGGAGGCCTTGATTTGTCTATCATAGCATTTTTCTTCTATACTTTCGATTTTAAAGTTTGCAGAACCTCCCGCACCTCCTAGCCCATCATAACCTACTTCTCCATGTTTTGATAAATGCTCTTGAAATGGTTTATTCATTTGAACAATGAAAATTTTTCCAGCATTACCTCCAAAGCCACCTTTACCTCCATTACCTCCATCTCCACCAGACGAAATCGTCAATATGTCAAAATCATAAACAAGACAAATGTCATCAAATTCTTGGAAGAAAGGAAAATAATGTCTTACTTTTGTTTCTAATAGTATAGCTTCATCATAATCATAAACAGTAGGTAGTCTAGTGTCGGGTCCTTTGCCCCCCCTTCCTCCATGTTGTCCACTTCCACCCTGACCTCCATCTGCCCAAATTTTTAGATTCTCTTTATTAATGATTTCATCAGCTATTCCAACGAATATTCCGCCGGATCCTCCTGGCAGTCCAGGCAAACCATCTTCTCCTCTCACTCCCAATTCACCATCTTCAGCAGACACCACCTCATGATCCTCACCTTCAGCACCTCTAAGATCAATCATCCTTGATTCAGAAACAATCCATTTTGGTGATATAGCTACTACTTGCGTCATGTCTCCTATTCTAATTAAATCATTGTCAAATAAGAGTACATTACGTGCAAATAATTCAATGTATCTTGTTTTTCCTTTACATAGCTCTACATCTGGAATATCTTTAAAGTTCAAGAAGTCTCCACGGATCTGCAATTTATATATTTCATTTCCCATCTGCTCATCCATTAGAATGCATTCCTTTTTTAAATCTCTATTGAATGAATACGATTCTAAATCTTTTAACTGCTTTTCCTTCACCTTTGAATTTAATGCCTTGAGACTGAAATGTTCTGACAGTTGATTCACTTTTCTTTTCATGTTACTGTGAAAATTGATACTTAAACTCCGCGCAGCCGCAATGTATGCAATCTTCAGTTTTCCGTACCACAAAATGGAAGCACCAATTTCATTCTCGATAATTCGTTTTACTGAATCTAGTATAAAACTTGGCCTCTCTAATGTACCCGTCGCTAGGTAGAGAAAATTTATCTGATTTATTTTCATTGCAATCGGAAGAAAATAATTCTCAGGTATGTTGATTTCTAATTCATTCAAAGCAGATATAAATGGCTCGAAATTTTCTTTATCTACTACATCTCTGGTACCAAGGACTTGAAATGTTTTCTCAATTGCTGAATTCAAAATTACATGTGCTTTGGTTAGCTCTTTGACAAAATTATCCTCATTCGTTAAATTCGCCTCTAAATTAAAGTAATGAGTAAAAATGTAATCGGCAAGTTTATGAAAACTATTTGTCAGATAGTCATTTATCGTAATCATTGAACAGTTCATTTTTTTGGAGAATTTCAATTCACTGCTGAAGTTTAAATTTAAAAATGTTTTTTCATGTTTTAATAGACCTTTTAAGTAAAACTTTGTCCATAAATCAATTTCCGATTTATTAACATATTCAAGAGTTAAATTTTTAAAATATTCTTCATAAATATTGTTCATCGTTGAAAAAAATTGATTGATTTTACGCGAATTCTTTAGCACATTCACCTTCGAAGCTTTATTCATCTGTCTATTAATAAAGTATTTTAGGACAATTTCGCTATTAGTTTTATTTAATGGCTTGTAGAGTAAATATCCAATTTTACTATTTGTTTCATTCGATGAATAAAGTAAAATATTTTCCTCTATCACTGACAAATAATTGTTGTTCTCGCTTTTTGACGCAAAATGCGTAGATTGATTATCTACGAAGTTCTCAATAAATTTTTTAATTTTAATAAAATCATTATTTGTGAACATCCAGAGAATATGATAATTATCAATCTCGATTTCTTCAACTGCTTCTAATTGTTGTATAATTTCTTCAAATTGAATTTTATCACATTTATCATCTTTTGAGTCTAAAGTTTTTAAATTCTACAAAAAAGAAATAAAAATAAATAAAAAGATAATTATTTTCATCAATTTATTCTATGTACATATAATATATTTATATTAATTTTATTTTAATATTTTTACTCACTTTTATATAATTCTCAGCTTCATAGGAATATAAAATTTTTATTAACTTAAGAAAGAAGATGACGACAAGAGTAATCTTCATGATTTTGTCTTTTGTTTATATATTATGAATAGTGAAATAGAGATTTCGATTAAGTACCTTTTAAATATTAAATCAATCAAATAAAAAACGAATTGAATGAATTGCACCTGACTCATTAATCGATTTACTTAATTTGTTTCTTTTTCCACATAAACGGCAATATTTATATACATCGCACATGTAAAAATGACAAAAGACATAATTTTCATTGTATTGTATTAATAAACACATTTCAAATAATTCATAGCGAAGAAAAGATACACTTGTTAAAATTGAGATTTGATAATATAATGAGATTAATATAATGTCATTGAAAGTATTTGATTAAAATAAACTTATATACAATATTCAATTCTGACATTGTCAATGAATTTGTTTGTTAAGTATAATGTATGTATTAAAATTTATTCAGATAATGAATATTGAATGTTTTACTAAATAAGATAAAAGATTTTATTCTTTTTGAGAACATTTTTATTACTCTCCGCCTAAGAAAATAATCAAAAGTGATGATAATGATGTGAAAATCATTTTTCAATACTTTTATTATTTTTTAGTTGAAAAGAATGACGAAAACTTGACTTTTGGCACGTAGAACTGTAAATTTTTTTAATTTATTTCTGATAACAGTTAAAATAAATGATAAAAATATTTTTAAAGTAACTGAGACGGGATATTGTGAAATTAGTAGATTTTTCTGCATTTTTGGAAAATAGGAAAAGGAAAATGCATGAGAGAAATTCAAGCTCAGTTAGTGGTGAGATGATGTTGGGAAGTTTTGGCTCCAGACCCCCTGGCGCCGTCGCGACGCTCCCAGCTTTTGGCAAAACATTCCCCTACACGAAAGTCCCGGCGAACGGGCGTCTAGCTTCTTTTTTTAGAGCTACCACCATTTGAAACTAGTTTCACCTCCCCAGAACCCATAAAACCTCCTTCTTTCGTTTCCAGCATATATCCTCTGTGAGTTTGTACTCATCCCACTTCTCCTTTCTTCTTCGTATATCCTCAACTCATTCTTTGCGTCTTTGCGCAAACTCAACTACTAGATTGTGACATTACTCTTTTCTTGAATTTGTGTTTTGCATTGTGCCTCCGCCCTCATAAATCAAATTTCATCGTTGGCATGCGAATAAAACGCATAATAGGGCACGATTTCTTTTATTATTACTCCTGACACGTAATTTATGACGAAAATTTTAAGCAAGGACTTGGACTTTATTATTAAAGAATAATAATTACGTGGTCAAGTGAAAATGGGTAAATACTTGACAATTTTTTACAAATTTTCACCTTTGATTTGTTTTATTCAGTCTTTTCCAGGAATTGAACTAGGTCCGTAACTTTGTTTCAAGTCCGTAAAAGTCAGTTTTTTTAAAAAAAAAAAAAGGTCTGCAAAGTCCGTAATTTCATTGAAAATGAATGAAAAATTCGTAAATTGTACGATATAATTTAGAGAATTTTAGAGATAAATTACAAATGAATGCAGAAATTCAATTATATTCAAAACATTTTTTAAATTCTCGTGGAAATTTCAACTGTCTTTAGAAATAATAAAATTGTTCTCCGAAATTCAGTTATTTTCAAAAATTTTGGTAAATAAAATTGTTGGCAAAATTTCAATTATTCTCAAAAATTTTCCTCTTTTCAATGATTTTCATAATATTATTTTTCATAAATAATTCAAATTTTTACAGGGATTCAATTATTTTCGTAAATAATAAAATTCTTTTTAGGAATTCAATTATTTTTATCACAATTTTAATCGAATTTCTAGAAAAATTATTCTAAATTATTCTTAAAAATTTTATAAAATTTCGTCAAGAAAATCCAATTCTTAAAAATTTTATTAAAATTTGTCAAGAGAATTGAATTATTTAAATTGTTTATGAAAATTTAATTTTAAGAATCATTCAATTATTTAATAAAATATTTATTTTTGTATTTAAATAATTGAAATCTCTTAGAAATTTCTAATAAATATTGATTTAAAAATGGATTTCAGTTAAAATTTTAGATAATAATTGAATATTAAAAGCATTATTGCGTTAATTTTTAGAAATAGTTGAATTTTGATATTAATTATTTTGAAAAAGTTTAATTGCGAATTTTTTTCTATTATTTGAAGTTTTTATTTTGTAATATATATTAAATTGAAGAATTTACGAATAGTTGAAATATTGTAAACAAATGATGGATTTGAAAATTTTCAAAGAACTTTTCGAAAATTATTAAAAGTATTATTAAAAGATTTAAAGAAGAATTTTAGTTAAAAATTCTTGAAAATAATAATTGAATTGATAATGATTTTATCACTCGGTTATCTTTAAATATTATAAAACATGAAAAAATCGATCACTCCGAGTCATAATTCATAATTGAAAAATTGAATTTCTAGTTTTAAGTATTAAATTTATTGTTCTCTTATTTGACTCGGACTGGTTATATTTTTGCCATTGGTCCGTAAAGTCCGTATTTTCAAATACTTTCACTGGTTTATTATATTATTATATTATGATTGACTTGAAATATAGAAATTGTTAATGCATTATGAATGATAAAACATTTTCTATATAGCGTGAGAACCAAAACAAAACGTATTATTATCGAAAGAAAAGACTAAAGAAATATTCAATTCAATGGAGATGTTCCTGCAAGACGAATTGAGTACACCATTATTTTATATCGTGATGATTTATGAGTCATCTGACGTCATCCCTTTTTGATATAAACCCTGGAATAAATTCATCTTCCTGAGAGGTTTCGCTCGTTTCGGATTACACTGTAGATATTTTCAATTTTCTAAAGACTCTATTGTCGTGATAGGGAAAAACTCACAAACATTTATTTATTAAGACATTGTAAGTCCAATTTATTCTTTCAACCATTTGACCGAAGTTGAAAATGACAATTCTTTGTTTTTATGTGCCAAATTCTTCTCACATTATATCAACACTTTTTTTTCTTAATTTAATAAAAAAATATTTTTCAACCTTCGAAGAGTATAATTTTACCCAACTTTATAAGTTTCAGGAAATAAAAGATTTTTTATGTGCGGTGATTTCAATGCCGATAGTCGTGTATATTTGATGCGAAACAACTTTTAGTAGTGCACGTCCCTTACAATTGAAATTTTGTGAAATCATCCTCGACTGCATTTGCTTTTTTCATCCCATTGTATCACGTTTAGGGACATCCAAGTTCCCCTTCTTCCGCAGGGCACCGCAGGGGGAGTACAATCGTAAACTATATGAGGTAGAAACAAAATATACTGCAACGAATCCAGTGACATAATTATTATAATTGAATAAAATATTGGATATATTGAATATATTGAATATTGAAAATTATTTAAATTAAAAATTGAAAAATTTAAGTCTCATGTATTTTTGGGAGCTTTTTACTGTAACTATATACAGGGTGAAAGAAATCCATTCTTCGAGAATTGAGGTCTCGCGAAAAACACCCTTCGGTATCGCGAGTCACTCGGCTTCCGGAATCCGGTTCCGGTTGTGATTTTTATGCGAGAACTCTGCACATGGGGCAAGCCACGAGGAAGCGATTCAGAACACGGATGATTCTTCAGAATCTGAAAAGTCAGTGGAGCGAAAACGCGGGGGCTGAAAAGGCAGAAAAGTATCTTCCAGAGGGAGCGTCAAGTCGCAGGGTGTCGTCACATCCGCCGAAACCGAAAATCACAACGAATCATTTGTCAGGGGAAAAAATTCGCTTTATCTCTTTTCAGCTTCCTTATTTTCTCTCGAATAATGCTGAAGTGGCTCGATATGTTATATGTAGTATGACGGAAGTTTGTTATTTGTAAGCCACGTGTCGTAGAAAGAAGAAAGAAGAATTAATTTTTCTTGTTTCATTTAATAGCATATAAGATGACATTCAATTTTAATTTGTGAGCTCATCTTTTTTCGATGATTTTTTCATTTTAAAGACAGTTTTCAGAAATTGACAATAACCCTGCGTTTGTAAGTTCTGAAATTATTTTTCTTACAAGTGAATCATATAATATAGATGCATAATATTTAACAATAACCATATTCATTAAAATTTGACCATAACATAAAATTATTTATAAATCGTAAGTTGTGTGCGGATCATCAGACATCAATTTATACCACTCGAGGTTTGCCAAACTTCCGCAAAACTTGCTTGTAAATTTTTAAAATCTCTGAAAGCAAATATAAAATTCAAGTATTATTCAGGTATGTGCTTAAGCGGACTTCAATTGTAATCTTAAATCATATATTAATAAATTTCTTTTCAGTTTCTTAATTCCATAATCGCATAATCTATTCAGATGAAACAAATAAAAATATTAACTCTAAAGCAAAACTTACTTTCTTCATGACGTTTTACTAAAATCTCTCCAACAAATACAATATTTGATAATCCAAATCCAATAATTAGAATGAACAGCAGCTTAAGAGATGTCGATACACTTTTATTTATTGAAACATTTGTTTCTTTATATTTTAATTTTTCAATCTGTGCTGAGTCTCGAATCCATTTGTTTATTAAACCCATCTGTTCAAGTTTCTGCACATACATTTCAAATTCAAAAACGTAAGGTGCATTTTTTCCAAAATGAATTGCAGTGTGAAGGTCTAAATTAAAGTCACTTAATACTTTCAAACGTGGTAAACCAGTTTCATCAATTGAATTAAAAACAGCAGTATTTGCCATATTTTCTTCAATAAGACACACTACGTGTACATTATTATCTAGGAAATCAATACATTCGTTATCATTTTGTATAATTTTTTTCCTCTTAAACATGCTAATTAAAGTATTGTCTCTGTTTTTTTCAGTAACTAATGGCATAAAGTCACTACTGAAGTATACCATTAGATTTAAGTCTTGTAAATCTTTTAAAGAATTAATTGAATCAGTGTGACTTGAAACAATCTTTACGTCGGTTAATATTGAATATAATGTTGAGGAAAATAGCCAAAATCCCATCAGTATTGATAGAAATAAAATTCTGTCTTTAAGTTTTGCGACATTCACATCTATTGTATTTCCGAATAATAATCCAATGAAGTTTAAAGGTTGCGTAATTTTCTTGTCACACTTCAATAGCCAAAGAATAATCCAAATTAGAGTCACCAATGAAA